ACTTAATAATACTTTATGTACACAATATAAACTACATCAGTCCCTCTGAAACCACAGGTTGGTTTTTAGTCCAACAGAGGACATCAGACTCTCTGGTCCCCTGATGGCGGACATGTCGGAGCTCCGCCGGTTCTCATGGAGCGGTGATCGCAGCAGCTCGGGGCCGAGTCAGGGCCTCGCTCCGCCGGATCACCTCTCTCCCTGAGCCCGGACAATGCGCTGCATCAACCGCTCTCTACCTTGCTGCGGATCTGTCCGGACGTCGACACTTTCCGGATGAGTTTCTGCGGGGATCCGGGCTCCTGCTCCGGCTCGCTATCCGATGACTCGTCCGGGAACCGGACGGCTGACTCCGGACCCGCGGCCTCCGCCATCCTCCATCAGACCCCCGGGGAGGAGCCGGGGAGGAGCCGGGGAGGCTGCGCCCCCCAGCGGCCAGAGCGGCCTCTGGTGGTTACACCGTGATATTACATAGAACAGGTTTTTGATAATAATGTATAAGATAAATGAACATAATATTATATAATATAGTAGAGTCTGAGCTGACACGTGACATATTTACACACACTCTCTCTCTCACACACACACACAAACACACACACACTGATCGTCTTCGTACAAAGTCATTGATGGTGTATATATGCAGTTATACATTATGTTTATATACAGTCTTTAATGAACAGGACATGATCTCAAAACTGAATTTGAAACCTGTCTTGTATAACTGAAGCTGGTTGGTTGAGGGTGTGACATCGGGCTCAGGTGAACCACCTGACCACAGGTGACCTACATGAAGGTTCTCAGCCTGGTTCCCAGGACACGGCAGTGGTAACGTGTCGTATAAAGACAGTTTGTGTGGGATCAGGTGACGCCTCTGTCTCTTCATACACAGAGAACCAGGTCAGTTTACACATGAAAGAGTTGCTCCACCCAACAGCGTCCTCACAATGTTCACAGAACACACAACACACTAATGAGATATAAAGACTGACCCGGTCCAGACCCGAGTCCGGAGACAGGAAGTGAACACAGGTTGTTGAAGCTAGTGGGTCGTTCAGGTAACACACACCCTGGTGTGTCATTCATGTTGATCTGAACTCGGTTTGCTTCTTGCACCACGTCCTGTGTTGGTTTTGATGAAAATGGGTTTGTACATTTCCGTCCTCAGAAGAATGACCCTTGTCCTTAAGGTGTAAGTGAACTGTCCTGGCCTGTGGACCTGGTTGTCCTGTGCTGTGCCATCTGTTTGTGTTGTTTTTTTATTGAATTGATCTGATCAGTGCTTGTGTGATTGGACTGAATGAACCACATTATTTCATCAGGGAGGTTATGTTTCGTTTGTTTGTCTGTTTGCAGGGTTTCACAAAAACTACAGGACGAGTCACCATGAAGGTGGAAGGATGTGATATTTGATGAAAGTCTAGTTTGTGTAGCAACAGGTTTTAACAGTTTCCCTGACGTGTTGTTCCTTCACTTTGTCTTCGGTCCTTGTGGGTATGTTCTGTGATGGAAGGTTCTGATGACCGCTTGAATTAATGTCAATCAAATTTTATTTGTATAGCCCATTTTCACAAATCACAATTTGTCTCATAGGCGTTAACAAACTGTGACATCATCTGTTCTTAACTCAAAAAGAGTAAGAAAAAATGACTAAAAAAACTTTTTACAGGGAAAAAGAACGTAGAAACCTGAGAGAGACACATGAGGATCTGTGTCCCAGGACGGACAGAACATGTGATGGAGGACGTCAGAAAAATAAGAGTAATTACAGCACTGGTTAGAGTAAACAGTTTGTAGCTTGATGGAAGGTGAATGAATTGAGGAATTATTGTCAGTAATGGTCGAGTATCTGAGGAGACATATTGTTTATCAAGCTGTCTTGTTGTGATCATAGTCCACCATCAGGATCCACTGCCGCCATCATGATCAACCATCAGTTGCCACCTTGATCATGGTCCACAACTATTTCCTGCTACATCACCAAACTCATACTGATCTTCAGCTGGTGGACACCCTGACATCTCCTGCCTTTATAAACTAAGGAATTCATTTTCTCCTTGATGATGGTGAGCTGTCCAGGTCCTAGAATCACGACGCTCCCGTCACCATACTTCAGAGAAAGAAAGGAGGTGAAAACAGACTCAATAAAACAAGAATGTAACATTTCCATACCAGAGGAATCAACATTAAAACTTGTCAACTTGTGATAAAAGTCCACACGCTGGTGGACCTTTGCATCAGTGTCAGCATCAGATGTGAGTTTGATGTTGATTGTGTTCCCAGATAATTGTTGGACAACTTCAACAGCTTGTCCATGAAAAAAATACAGAGGGTGGTGGCTACTTCCTGAAGTCCCATTATCATGTCTTTAGTTTTGGACACTTTAATATTGAAGTAAGACTGGCTCACACCAGTTGTTAAAATCCTCCACCACCGGGCCGTGATCAGTGGAATTGTCAGTGAGGGACACAATCACAGAGTCACTGATGGTTAGTGTATGAAATGAGCAATAGTGGTGAGAGGACACACTCCTGAGTGGAGCCAGTGGAAGATCAAATGACATTAGATAAAACTCCCTCACCTTCAGAAATCTGTCAGTTCCACAGTCAACCAGCCAACATACAGTATCAAGCCAGGGTTGATAATGTGGACCTCCTAAAATGTGAGGTAGTAAACAGTTAGAGCTGAAGAAGTCTTTACACCGTCCAAATGACTCAGGACTAAAGGATGTTGATAGGGTGCTGACAGCATCCTTGACACCCCCACCTGCCCTGTAGGTGAAGTGGAGGAGGTCCAGAATGCCCAAGAATGCTC